CGGAGGAAGCGGCCGGCGGCAGAAGGGCCTCGCCTGCCCCCGCCCTCCGGGCCCTGCCCGCCTCGCAGGTGCCAGCCGGGCGGCCAGGCCCCGCGCCGATGCCACCGGACTCCCCCCCGCCCCGCCGCCCCCCAGGCCGCACTCACCATTTTTGGGCAGGCTCTGGATCACCTTCACGGCCGCCTCGAACCTGGTGGCGTGCACGGAGCCGGTCTCCGCCATGTCCCCGTCCCGTCCCCTCACCGCCCGCCGCCTCCTGCTCGGCCGCCGGGCCGCGTCCGGCGGGGCGGGCTCGGCTCGGCTCAGCCCAGCCTCCCTCCTCACGGCGCCTGCAGCCGACTGCACGGGAGAAGGGCTGAGAGGCGCCGGGCCATAGGCAGCCACCCCCCGGCGGCAGCGGGGCGGGGTGCCCGGCCCCGGCCCTCCCCCTCCGGCAGGGCTAGGCGCAACCCGCCCAGCTCCTCGGACCGGCCTCTCCCCGCGGGCCGAGCGTGGCCTAGCAACACCCCAGCCCACAGCCCACCCCTACCCCTACCTTCACCCCGGCTTCAGGCGCCCATGTTAGGTCTCCCACGGAGGCGCGCCTCGCCTCCCCTCCCCCCCCCTCGCCTCCTCTCCTCCCCTCTCGCACCGCCCCGAGGCCGCCAGGGGCTCGCCGGGAAACGTAGTCCGCCCGCCGCGCCCCGCGGCACGGCCGGGCCCCACACGGGTGTCCCCGCCGCCCGTCCCCTCTCAGCGCCTTCTCTTCCTCCCGCCGCCATGGCAGGCCGCTGCCTCTCCGGCAAGCCCCCTCGCAGCGAAGGGCGAGGGCTGCGCGGAGGCGGCCGGCCGGCCCCGCCGGCCAGGCTGAGGCCGAGGAGAAGCCCCTGGGCCGGCCTGACCCCAGGAGCCTCCCGGAGCTGCTCTGGGTGATGGCGGGTTCGGTCTTGGGGCCCGAGAAGCCGTCCAAGTGCTGATCCTGGGGAGTCTCTCCCGTGTGCACTGAGGGAACGGTTCTCTCCTTTTTTTTTTTTTTCAATTTTTTTTTTCTTTGTTTCTTTTTCTCTGGTTCCTTCCTCTTCCCACCCTTTCTCTTCCTTGCTTGTATAGCTACACATGATAATGAACATTTCAAAACCTGCCGTAATCCACCCATTTTATGGACCTCGGTTATCCTCAGGAGACCCACCACCACCCTGGCAGTCTGCTTTGTTGCGTCCTCCCCTCCTCACAGCCATCCTCCTACGCACGCCTAGTTCCGCATAATTCACCTAAATTACCACGTTAGCCACATATTTTTGTAACAGCTTTAATGACTAATATTTACATCAAAATTTTAGGCATGAGATTTTAAAAACGTACAACCCAGGGAGCAACTATTTCCGTGGTACTCGGAGACGAGGGTGAATACCAGTACAGTACCACCAGCTAGCTCAGTAGCTAAATAAATGAATGGCCTTATTCAAAAGCACTGCACATCCAGCGCTCTACGAAGTCAAACAAAAGTATACTGAACCAACTGCTTTTGTAGCAAGTGGAATAATTTACCCAGTAAGCAACAGGATGAATTAATAGCCTCTTTGAATAGAATCGAGTACAAAATCCTGGCATTCGAGTCAGTTCATTTATCTGGTACACAATATATATTTTAAATTCCTCTGAAGGCAGTTGTGTGCTCACAGTATATGCCCTCTGGTGGGAAATAAAAGCTCGAGAGAGAGGGAATTAGAGCAGATCAGCCCCTACTCTGCTGAGCTAGTACATTCCACAGGGTCAGCAGCCAGCCGGCCAGGGGAGAGCTTTGCTGGAGAGAAGCTGACACTTCCAGAGGTGTTCTGATAGGATTCCCCACACTGGGCAAACAATGAACCTGTGCTACGAACACCACTGTTCCACTCACGTGAACGTTACAGATGAATTTCTCTGAATTTTTTGTTTCGAGTGCTAGATTGTGAGCTTCATACTAAGATCTATCATCTTCTTTATCCATGAAGGTAGGTAGGAATGACAGAAGCTCAGATCAAAGGGATGTGTTTGTTTGAAGATAAGTGGGTCTCTGTATAAATACGGATACTTTGAGCATCCAAGGAGTTAATTGCAAAAAAGTAATAAAAAAATTAAGGGCCTTTTGTGAGGCCAGCTGATGTGTAAATTCTCTTTACCTGAGGAAATCTATAATGATGTTTGTCATTTAATTGATTTAAGAGAAATGCAATCTGCATTTTTATAATGAATGTTCCCAGACTTTCACTGGAAGTAGGCTTTAAAAGAGATGCAAATGACAGCCTATTTAATGGCTGTGCACAGAAATGGAAGCTGCCCTCTTTGCACTGAAGATGTGTGAGAATGTGAGGTCTGCAGATCCAGAATGAGGCATTTGAAGTAACCCAAAATAATCAGTACCATCATGCTCTGAGACAAGGATGAAATAGTAAATGAGAGGCAATTTTTGAGCACTGGTGAGCCTGTGAGAACATATCACGACTAGTTAATTTAAATGCTCATATATAATACTAATTAGCATTGCTATTAGCTGTCCCTATGTATACATTTTGCATTCTCATTGCAGTGACTTCCATGTAGGGTTAACAATAATCGAATGTGGAGTACAGCTAATAAAGAAGACCCTCTCATCTGTCGCAGACATCCAGGAATGGAGCTGCAGCTTTATCTCAAGCTGAGGATCTAGACTCCATTCTTTAGGGAACAAAATTAGATGACGTTTCTCTGTTGCCTGCTGAGTACCTATTGGGAACAACCAAATGCTTGTAAAATCTAATTATACTCTATGTGTTGAACTGGGCTGTGTTTCTATTGCTCTGCAAGAGCAGACTCCAAAGCAATCATAAGCATGACCAGCTCTTATTCTTCTTTTGATCCAATGTATGAGAAGCTAAACATGGGGAACTCTGATAGAAAGACTGACCAGTGATGCCCATTAGTTGAGATGGAAGAGAGGAGAGACCATGGTACTCTGCTACCAGTGTGATTTGGCAGTAAGCACAACGTGTGACACTTAACATGTCTGAGTGCTTTGCTGTCCTCACACTTCTCTTCACTTGGTGTTTCACAAACTACTTATGGAAAGCCTGTGAACTGCTAATGTGAGGCATTCCTGGCAACGTTGAGATACATAAAAGCTTGTATGGAACTATGCTGTTGTAGTCGCTGAAGGAGTACACTTAAGGGATGTCTGGAGAAAAGGCAGACAAGCGTGGTCCTGAATGTGACCTTGGACCTATCAGATGGATTAGGGATGGTTATCGAGTCCAGTGGTGTTATGGCACAGGATAGCGTTTCAAAGTCTGATGTGTTGAGCTACCTTACAATCCTCATTTTGTGCTGTGTGTAAGCTGCCACTGTCCCTTCATGTTCTCATTTGTATCCCAGGTCTGCCTTAGTTTTCTAGCAGTTGCTTCCAGTGCCAAGCTACACCCCAGTCCAGCTTGAAGAGCACCTTCATTTTACTTGAGGGACAAAGGAGTCAGTTAAATTATGCAAGTGAAAAGCAGAAACTGGAACCAATTATGCCTATTGCTCCCTCAAGGGTCTGAATCATAGCAGTGTATTTTACAGAAATATTTTTAAATGGTTCTTAAGAAAGTAGACCATAGTCTCATATGCATTATGAGCAAGTTCTGTAAGCTACCAGATCCAAGAGCATGTAATTTTAGCAAAGCTTACTTTTTGAAGTATGTAATCCAGCAGGGAGAGAGAATGAATTATTTAAAACCTAATAGTCATAATTATGAAGAACTAAATTAGCATTACAATTTCTAAGTCAAATCTGCATGCTGATGAAGAATAGAAAGATGTTGTCTAAGAAGGGTAGAGCTTTTCATATGGAGTAGTTTTCTACATTGTTTACAGTAGAAAAGCTAATATATCAAATGACATTGACTTACAGGATTTTGTAATGAAATCATGAAGGATATTTGTGTCAAAATGAACAGCTCTGGAGAAAGAGAACTATTTGCCTATCATGAATATGGCAAAAACAGCAGCTGAAGTTTGTCCACCTATGTAGGCCAATCCCTGTTCTTCAGGAAAAGCCCTTTGGGCAAAGGACTAGTTTGAGACAAGAACGCTTTTGGGGATGGAAGTTTCCTTGTGAGGTTCAGATGCCCCCCTTAATAACTCAACTAGAAATACTGATTCATTTCACAGTTGGGGATTAAGTAATGGAATTATTTTTAACCATTATTAACGGCAGCTGCTTTGCCTAAGGATTAAGTTCCATGTTGTCAAAGGCGTTAAAGGTAATATATCCCATTTAAAATCTCTTTTGAGCTGTTCAATTCAGGTATCTCAGGTAACCAATATTTTGAGCCACATTTTTGTTTCCCCCCATGCCTCCCCACTTCCCACATATTTCAAAAAAGAAAATGCAGTAACAAAAGTATAAGCTTAGATCTATCTCATAAAATGCTCTTTGAAGAACAAGATATGATCATACTTCCAAAGACGTTTTGCAACATTTGACTTTGCATTGTACTATACAGTACTTATGAAGTCAAAACCTTTTACAGGTTTGTATCTTTGTAGGTCTAAACATAACGCAGTGCCTTATTGCATCTTAAGCCCCTCTTTTTTTCTCCAAGTTTACATTAATTTCTTTTATGAAACTTTTAATAAAGTTCAGTTTTCCTTACTGCCTCAAGGTATTTTTCTTGTAGAGCCAGCAAACAGTTACAACAGAATTGTTCAGATTTCACATATTCTAGAAAGAACATTTAAAAATCCTGTTCCCTTACACAGCCATGAACTGAGCTTTGAAAAGTGTGTAGTTTCATCTTGCAACAATGACAAACTGTGTCTTATTATAAACAACAGCAGCAGACAGCTCATAACAAATACTTATTCTTTTCCCTTCAGTAAAAAATACCATATCTGGAGGTCAAATTGTGCTGTCATTTGCAGTGATATAAATTTGCAGTTACTTGGTTGATTTAGGGATATTTATGGTGTTGCACATTTTCATAATGCAAATGAGTAGAATTTGACTCTGAAAAATCTTAACTATGTCTGGTATATTATTTCTGGTTTGATGTTTGTGCTTCTTATCTTCACGACTACTGCTGCTAAAATTTTAGAAGCCTATCCTTGTGTAATTTGCCTCTTGGGAATAGCTAACAAAATACTGTGACTCTATCATATTAATGTGCTTATGCAATGGCATATTTATAGCCAGACAGCTCTTGTGACTTTTTTTTTTTTATTTCAATATCTGGAAGGGAAAAAACAAAAACGCCCTTAGTTTATGCGCGTTCTTTTAAAATTCTAGCAAAGGAAGG